GTTTCTGTGGCCTAGGATCAAGCTGTGATTTAGAAATTAGAACACTTAATGTACTAAGCAGATCACAAAGCAAATTGCTTATCACTAGTATATGCCTGCTATAAACTTCTGAAGGCTATCTGATCTGCAAAATGCAAATCATTGATTGCATGTACTTTGGGGGAGTCAGACATGTAACTGTGGCCATTTTGGAGAGAGTAAACCATCTAAGTCTTGGTTCAGTTACAGGAATGACTGATTTAATACTAGATTCTCACATGATTACAGAAGTGTGTGAATGACTCAGCCCATTAATATCCTTCACTCCTGTGATCTCCCCTCCCAGTGAAATAATGGCTGTAAGGCAATAATGATAATTGGAGGAGGAGGAGAACTTGACTTTGCCCTGTGGCAATAAAATGACACACTTTGGGTAATTACATATGCACACAGTATTGTGTGAAAGAAATGAGGAATATAATAATTTTATAAATATCATTAATATTTATGTTTAAGCACAGTGAAAGTAATAAGTAGCTTCAGTATCTGTGAAGACTGAGCTCTGTGTTTCTTTTTCCTAAAACAACTAGCCTCTGTGTAGAGTGGCAGAACCATTGGAGGCTTAGCTTAGTTGCTAACAGGCATTCACTGATGGCCTTCCTCTTGCTGACACAGGATGAGCACCACAGTCACAAAAGTGTTGGGCTCCAGTTCAGCATAGCTAAATGTTCACAAGTAGTTTTGAGCTGAAACTTAGTAGTTGGTTGAAGCATCTGTGGATCTTTGGGGGATTGTGTGTTTTTTCCTAGTACTGCTCTATCTTTTTGAAGCCATTCATTAGACAAAGAGCTGGATATTTGGAGTGGGCCTTTGTACATTTTTCTCCTCTCACTGGAGTCACTAGTGACTTGAACTGAGTCTGATGGAAATTTTTCAATCCTTGTTTACCTTGACCCCTTTTCCATCTTGTAATTTCACTTTGACACATCTTGAAATTCCTTCCTAGACTTCTGACACTTTTTTTGGTTGTCTTCTTAACTCTCGTGGTTTTTCTTTTTTGACTCTTCTTAACTGCCTCTTAAATGTGGTGTTCTCTAGAGTTTTGTCTTGGTCCTTTTTTTTTCCCTTTGGTGTGTTTCCATTTATTCAGTCTCCTTGGTGATCCCATTTATTTCCATTCCACGTGGGTGTTTCCATGTCAGTCTTGCTGAGCTTCAGACCTGTATATCCAGCCATCTGAAGGTATATGTCACGATGATGATAACAGTGACGACAGCAACACAGCTTTGTGCTGTGGAATACTCTGTCTGACTGCTGAATGTTTTATTGCTTCATTCCATTTATTCCTCAGCAACACAGTGCAGTTAGTGCCGTTATTATTTTCTTTTCCCAAGAGGGGAATTAGCAGTAGGTGCAATCATTGAAGCTGAGTAGCAGCTCTCCTTGGATCATTTCCTTCATCACAGTCCCCATCACTGCCCATGGTCCTACACTTACTGTGAGTTTCCTTGTGCTTATCTAGTTCTGTAGGTATTTATGATTCCTGGAAAAGAATATTGCTGTGCTTTCCCAGCTGATCATCTTCRCTGTAGTTGAATGATCTTTCTCTAATGAAATCTGTTGCTTTCTTTCTCTTAGTGTTTTTGGTTTGCATTTCCTCACTGACTCTTTTCAGTCCACAAACATGTTAAAGCCTTTATGCTGAAGTTAAAAGGAAAAGGTTAGATTTTTTTGATCATCTACTATGTGCCAAAGTTAAATACAAATATTATTGTCTACACTGCACTGAAGTGGGTATTACTGATTCCTAATTAGAGATGAGAGAAATCCAAGGATTTCCAGAAAGATTGTCCCAATATCCACAACCAAGGGTAGACCCAGATTTGATCCCAGGGTCCATGTTTTCTCTYCATCACATCAATTTCACTTTACGCTCCTATTAGCTTCTTTGTGGCCAACAAATTTCTTAGCTCTTTCCCATGTTTGGCTCCCATCTCTCTGTCCTTCCGTTAGCCACCAAACTTTGTTCATTTGTTTACACAAAACTCCCCTACTCCCTTTTCCATCTCAGCACAGATTAATTGGGCCTTCTTGTGGTTTACCCATGCGTGGACATTGTTTGAGAATGGATAAATGGTAGGCATCCAACCTGACACCAGGAAGTCCTCCTAACCTGGGAGAAGTCTCACAGGAGGGTTGACAGATCACCAGCTGCAGGGCACTGTGCTGAGTGCCTGGTAATTAGATCCAGTGTTCTCCTTAGTGCTTTTCTTATTTGAGCTTTCTTACATCATTTTCCTCAAAAAGACACCTCTCTTAAGAAGAGAGAAAGGTATGGACCTAATGGTCTATTAGATCTTCTCCTCCCATCTTTGAGGTGTTTAAAATTTGTTCTAAAAAAAACCCAAGCCATTCATATCTATTTCATACTAGAACAACATAACTCCAAAAATACTCCCCCTTATCTATTTCTCTTAAAAATACAAAGCAAGAAACCACTAAAATAGTTTAATCTCTATCTATTGCATCGATTTAAACAGAGTTGAATATTTTTCATGCTCTCATTGTGATAGCTAGAGTATATTAAGTTCTCTTTTCAGTGGCAAACCAGACCAACTGTAGCATCAAACTTTCAGAGATGATATTTGCTACAGTGAATTCACATGTATTTCAGCAGCTTTCTGAAGGTCCTCACTGTGGGGGAAAAAAAATACATTGTTGTGTGAGTTTTCTTAGAGTATTGCTTATTACCAGATTGTCAACCTCAAAATGCCTGTCTCTTCCAATCTGCCCCCTCCCAGTGTCTATCCTACTCCTCCTTAATAGCTGTTAATTAACGACAGGAGTTAATTTTGTTGGATGCATTTGAGTCCTTATTGTAAAAGATATTTGAGTTTACTTATCACCTGCTCAGATCAGATCTTTTCTAATCATCACTGATTGCATAATAATTTCAGACTGATGGAAGGCCCACCTGATTTCCTTCCTGTAATGCAGCATTAACTTCTTAGGTCTCTGTGAGTTTGTTTTATTTTATAAATCTAAGAAAAGAGTCAATAATTTTTTTCTAAGAATCAGCAATTTATTTTCTAGGTCTAGTCTGAACTCTTCCTGCTCTAGCTTTAAGTTTGTCTCATCTTGTTCTCTTGTGTAGAGGTGAGGATAGCTAGTTACCATGCGTAATAACTCTTTTTTTCTCATTCATAGGCAGTATTAAATTACATTTCCACCTTCTTTTTTCCAAATTGAGCTTTATTGGTTCTTTAGCATTACAGGACTTATTTTAAATTTTTAATTACATATAAGACTTGTCATTAAAGCCTGTGTTTTCGTGACTTTTTGATGGTGAAACTAGCATGGTGGTTACATGTCATCAGTACAAGGAAACAGTTCTTACACTCTGCTTTGTAAATATAAATTTTAGGCATTTTGATAAGCTGCTTAATTTTCATTTATATTCAGTTAATTAAAATACAGAGCAATTAAGCAAAAGAAAAATTATATATTTTTCCTCCATGACAAAAAGTAACCAAAATAGGTAAGTTTAAGATAATCTTTTGATTTCATATGCATTGATAAATCAAAGAGATTAGAAATGTATCTCATTGACTAGAACCAAAACCAAGAATTTTTTGTATTTATCTTGTTGTCTTAGCATTATCTTTAACTAATTGGATGGTAGAAGTAAGTCCTTTTATTTATTTCTGAATCTAAGGAAGGAGATCAAGGTTTATGATCTCTTGAGTTGTCTTCCAGCCCCCACATTATGTACTCTAGTAACAATCATAGTTGAWAAACTGTGGCTGTCAATGTGTTTAAGTTGTTTGTTTGAAATACATGTATTGAGCACTGCCTCCTATATGACAGATACTGGTAATAGTGTTAAATCAGATCTTTCAAAGATTTATATTTTGTTAGGGGGAAAAGTATAAAAATAAGAGCAATTGTATATTACTGGGAATATGGTAGAAGGCAGGGCACAGTGGTGATTTTGGTGAGCTTTGCTTGGTGACAGGAATATCTGGAAAGGGTCCAGATAAAAGAGACCAGTTACAAAGGCCTGAAGAGCAGCCAAGGTGCAGTGTTGTAGCATCTGCTGCTGGGTTGTCGAGGCTGAGGTTGCAATGAGGAAGTAGAGACAGTGGCTCTCAAGCTTYTTCAAGGGATTGGAACATAAACAGAAAATGGGAGAGGAAACGGATTACAAAGATTGTTTGTTTTTTAAATATAGGAGTGAAGAGCCAATGTAAACATTTTTGGGGGAAACAGCCTCTAGAGAGGGAATGTTTGTTCTGAAGGAGATGAAGAAGTAATTAAGAACGAACTTAAGAACACGGTTGAGGATGGATAGTGGGAGAGAGGTGGATAGATGTATGGTAACACAAGCATAGCAAATGTTGATTGTGACATCTAGGAGGTGGACCAATGGGTGTTCACAGTACAATTCCTCTGGTTTTCTGCATGTTTGAAAATTTAATAATATGGCATAATAATATAATATTTGAGGGAAGAAGGACAGATTGAGAGTTTAGCCTTGAGGGGGAGAATAAGGGACATACTTACTCCTTTTTGTAGCAGGAAACTGTGGAAGTTCAAGGCTAAAGCCTCACCTTCTTTTGTAATATAGGAGTCACTATCACTTGCTAGGGCCGAGGGACAGAAGAAGAGGAGCTTTGATAAAGAAAAATGGAATAACCAGCATGGCAAGTGGGAGATGGCTGAGCAGACAGGGAAGAGAGGGCGATGCTCAGGTCCTGAAGAGGTTGCCTCACTTTGCAGCTCTCCCTGGGATTTCTCAGAGGACGGTAGTTAKTGGGAACAAGGAAGCACTGTATAGTTTGAGAAAGGAGATGTGGGATGAGTAGATGGGATGAATGTTTCCCTTTGCTATTTACTAGCAGTCTTGCCCTCTGGAGGATTCTCTTTTCTACCTCATAATCTTTTTATTTGAATTACATGTTGTAAAATCTTCTTAGCACTGTTACTCTCATTGAACTAGACAATTTTGTTGTCTTCCTTAGGTAAAAGAAGAACGTCCAGAAAAAATACCAGATTTAAAATTATTAGTGGAGAAGAAATTTTTGGCTTTACAGAATAAAAGTTCTGACATGGACTTTCAAAACAATGAAAAATTTGTACAGTTCAAACAACAGCTGAAAGAACTAAAGAAGCAATGTAAGTCAGCATGCTTTGCTTTGGTTTGGCTTTTTGAAATTAGGGAACTGACTTCATGAACAGTCTCGGAAAACTGATTCTCTGGCATTTGCTTATCTGCCTGGCTTGAGCCTCTTCCTAAGTTGCTTTTTATTGTTGTTGCAGTTCTGTATTTTGTCTTAACTTTTGGTTCAAATCAGCCTGTCCATTCTGAAAGCCAACAGTTTCCACAAAGTGCTAAGAAAATTCCCTAGCAGCTGAAGAAAGTTACATGTTTCTTCCCACTGCTGGAGTGAGGAATTGGGAAAGCAAAATAATGCTGAAAATCATTTTAYTAAAATAACAATGGCATTTTTCAGATCTAAAACTGCTGTGCCAAGCTTTATGGTAGCCACATTTTGATTCTAGTTTTATTGCTTTGGAGTGATATTAGAGATGTTTTCTGAAAAAAACTTTTTCTTCTCAAATGTGGACCAAAATCCCCTTCACCATATCACCTTTGTGTAGTATAAATTCCATGTGACTTGAAAATTGGTTGCCTTCTTAATAAACTATTATACTTAGGTTTTTTAAAAATATTTTTTAGTTGTAGCTGGACACAATAACTTCATTTTATCTTATTTATGATTATGTGGTTCTGAGGATGAAACCCAGCGCCCTGCACGCGYTAGGCGAGCTCTCCACCGCTGAGCCACAATCCCAGCCCTATACTTAAGGTTTTTTAAGGAACATAGTTTGAACTTGAAAATGAGAGTAAGGAAATAACTTATTATACAGAAACATTTTGTAGAGAGAATTTGCCAGAAATAATGTATCTCTTCAGCAAAGTATGGATACCCTTTCCTGTTTTAACAATGTTATATAAATTGACTTTTTACATTAGCATCTATTTAGCTCTATTGTCTTTTATTCTTTTTTTTTTTTTTTAGGATTGAAGTCTTTTAATTCTTAAAGCTTTGAATAGTAAAGCAAATGATTTTTTTCTTTGTTTATATTTAGTCTCCTGTTACCTTCATTTTTTGCACATGGGGCAGGAATGTTGTATTATGTGAGACATAATTAATTTCATGCCCTTATATGTACTTAGAGTAGAGATCCATATTTTGAAATAGACTTTCTTTTACATATAAGCAGTTTCTATAAACTGATGATGAGATCTGAAAAAAAATGACTGAGGAAGCTGCTTTACTTTTGTCTATTTTACAAATAACTTGTTTCATAACTTGAAATATTTTGCAATCATGATGAGAATTTTGCTTTTACTGTAGATTTAAATAGTAAGCATTTTCCCCATATTTTAGGTCTATTTTTGTTGTTGTTGTTCATTGAATACCATGGCTGCCAAAATCTTTCTAGTGTAATTTATGCTATTCCCCCAAATGGGTAATAATCCCCAGAACAGATAATAATGTGCTAGTAGCTTTCTGATCTTAAGGATGATAGTGAATTTCAGTTTCATTGTTGGTCAAAAGAGCCAGATGTGTTTTATTTTATTACATAGAGCCAATATTCACAGATTAGGCAGACCTAGCATCTAATCATAATGCCTGATTTTTTTAAGGATTTTATAGTACAGAACAAAGGATTAAATATCCAAAAGAGAATTTTTTCCTTTTTTGTTATTATTCCTAAAGAGAAACTATGAAGACTTTTAGAACAGTGTACTCCTGATGAGGCATTTTCTAATTAACAATATATAATTCAACAAAATGATATACATTGGAATCATGATTAGTGTTTCTTTACTTTTCTCTAAAATGGGGTGTGGGAGGGAGATTTCCCAAGACCAACAGTACACCTCCTTTGGATAGACAGTTAAACTAAACCTTATAGCAAAGTAAATTTATATTGAAAGAAATGCTTCCTTATGTAAGGTTTCCCCATATATTATAACACTGGAATTAAAAGAACTTTCCCTATAATTTCCCCTAAAATATTCTTCCAAAAGTTTTTAAATCTTGAATGACAGAACAAATAAAATATTAATCCTCTTTTAAAATGCTCTGTAAGCTGTGTAGACTCCATTTCCAAAAATGGAATTTTTTTTTTTTTTTAAGTACTGGGAATTGAACCCAGGGCCGCTTAATCACTGAGCTACATCCCCAGCTCTTTTTATTTTTGAACAGGGTCTTACCAAGTTGCTTAAGGACTTGCTAATTGCAAAGGCTGGCTTTGAACTTCTGCTTCTCCTGCCTCACCCTCCTGAGCTGCTAGGATTAAAGGTGTACACCACCATGTCTGGCTTAAAATGGAATTCTTAGTGTAGAATTATGAGCACTGACAATTAAAATTTTATCATGTCTAGTGGATTTTAGTTCTTAGATTTTACTGCTACCAGTATCCTGGTTAGGATCAAGCTTTCACAATATTTGTGGTTCCAGGTCAGAGATACAGGGTGATGTATAGATGAGCTAATTTGTTTTGAGAGATGTTCTAGAGATACAGAATTACAATTATTTTTTAAGATTGGAAAATAGAAGCTTGGGGAGAGATTGTTTCTCTTGCCTGTTTTGACAAAGTAAAGGCTAAAATGTTTCTTTATTTGTATATACCTAAAGGGTTCTTTCATGAAAATAACCATGGTATTTTCACTACCTTTATTATGTGAGAACATGAATTTGTAGGRTTTAATTTTATCAAATCTGAATCCAATCAAAGAAATTCCAAGAAGCTCTTGGGTGGGGAGAGGTCCAGGTGGAGATTGTGTGACAGGCAGGCAGTCCTCAGGGCACTCTGCTGACTGTAATTTGCTCCCCCTGATGGAGCTCAGCAGCTGGTCCTCACACTCTTTGGTCCCATGCTGCCCTTTTATTTTTTAAATTTCTTGAGCACCCTAGAGAAYTATATCTATTGTTTATCCTATTAGAAATAAAAACTGAGGGTTTGTATGTTACTATAAACAGCATTTGATATGAAATCTAACTATATTTTTTAAACCTAAAAAAAAGTTGCTGAGAAGAGTGACACTGTTCTGCATTTTTGCAAACATCTTGGATTCTGACTTAGAGGCAGCTAGATCCTCATCTGTGCTTCTGCATTTGGTTTGTTGTGATACATTGTTTTAGTTTTAGTAGACTACATTGGTAGTTGGACTTGCAGACCACCAGAAGGTCTCACTTGCAAACCTCAGATCTGAGCCAGGGATTGGTTACCAGATTTGTGGGCCAAATCTAGCTGCCTTCTTGTTTTTATGTGGCCTGCAAACTAAGAATATTATATTATTTTTCAGTTGTTGGAATAAAAGACTATTTAGTGATGTGAAAATTATATGAAAATCTGATTTTAGCATTTATAAATAGTTAAATTAGAATATAGGCATGCTCACCCACTTGTGTATCATTTGTGAGGCTTTACACTATAATGGTGGAGTTGAGTAGTTGTGGCACAGATCACTGGCCCTCAGAGCCTATAATACTGTGTGGCTCTTTGTAGAAAAAGTTTTACTGATCCCTAGATAAAAATCATATTCAGAAACAAGAAGATTTTTTTTWAATTTTAGATTATTCCCCCTAAATACTATCCATTTGTCTTAGGTATGTTCAGAACACCTTGAGTAACCACTAAATGTGAATCATTGCAGTTGATGCTCTGAAATGAATAAAAAGCAGAGACCCTGTACTTGGAGACAGTGTATGCAAACATGAAATAATGCAAGAACAATTTATATTGAATTAAAAAAATCAAAATTAAAAGAAAAAACAGAAACAAGTATTCTACAATGTAAGATCTAAGTAAGGAGGGTCAAAATTGGAATATAGATTTTATCTGCCATGCTAACATTGCCAGTCATTTGTAAGCGTCCCTATAGTCCAGTATATTTGGACAGATTCTGAGGCTCGGTTCAGGCCCAGCAGGAAAGAAATGTACTAAAGGCTTACAGTGGGAGAGGGAAGGGACACTACAGGTGCCCTTTACCTTCTTAGATACAAAGTTCCCAGATCTGCCATGCTCATTTAAAGATATTATTTCTCTACAGGTAACATACTTTAGTTGCACATAGCAAATTTTTTGTATGGTTAATTCTTACAGATATTACTTGCCATTATGTTCAGCTTTTTTGAACAAATGACATTATGCCTTGGGGAGGAAATTATTGGGAATATCACCCCGATTAAATCAAGTACCGGCTCTTTGCAAATTCCAAAAGCTTGCTTTAAACTTAAGTTGTTGAGGAATTTAGCATAGCACAGCGGAAGGAATATGAGCTTATTAGCAACCAGAAGACCTGGGTTGGAGTCACCTGATATGTAACCTGTCCTCCCTGCAGATGCCACTGATTTTTCTTGCTTCTGATTCTTGGAGTCATAGAAAATCAAGATTGGTTGAAGATAACTTTTACACTTCTAGATGACTAAGATGGTGACAGTGGGGATAATTGTGTTAGGCAACAGTTTCCAAGAAAATAATTCTGTTTCCCTAAATAGTAATCATATTCTTACTGAGAGGTTGTCAGAAAATAGTGTGATTTGGCTTCATGTAGTCATATTCAGGCTTTCTTGGATTATATAATTTTAATTTATTTGAAAGTATGTCTTTACTACTGTAGTCATGGTTTCTTGCAATTTTAACTTCTGGAGAACTTAATTAGAATGAGTGAACACTTCTGTGTAGATACTCAAGTCACCAAGAAATCTCTCTAGCATCCTTTATTCATTTATTTACCTAATGTATGATTAGCAGACATCATAAATTTAGTGCAGATTACAAAAGCAGGATTGAGGATTGTAGATAATAACTGATACTTTGAAACTTTCAGGGCTTTGTTTTATAATCAAAAATAGAATTGACTGAATCTGAGCTCTTTTGTGTTTTAAAATTATTTAATGTGAAATTTAAGTTTATTAGTACATTTAAATTCTGAGTACCAGTGTGCCTCATTATTTTTTTTTTATTTAGAATTTTGCTAACTTGAAGGTATTCGCCACAAATTTAATACACTGTATTAAGGTCATTGTTACATGTAGTATATAAAATATGGAGAAACTTGGAAATCATTCTTAGTGATGGTAATATTTGTGTCA